ATCTTAGTGCCTATGCCGTTGTTGACATTGCTATTAATTAAATATTTTTAATTCTATTTTTAAATAACTGAACTACTAGCCTGCTACAGTTTGTGCACGGATTGCCATGAACTTGTTACAATTAATTTCAAATTTCAGTGATTTTTATATTATATATATTTCAAAGTTCAAAACAGTGGATATTACATAAAATAATAAAAATTTCTTCCTACTCTTTCCTACTCGTTTTATGTTATCATCATAATCTATACTTCTATACTTCTATGTTCTATAAACATAACGATTAGTGGGCCAATATAACAAAATCCAGGGCATTAATTCCTCAATGAAGTATATTAAAAGCATTCCTTTATACACTATTCACTTCTAACATATACATACTGATCATATATCTAGTGCTTCTTATACTGATATGCTAGTGACCTCTAAAAGAACCAATACCGAAAAATTATCGAAAAATGTATAAAAGTAGTAAATGCAATAAAATTAACCTACAAACTCAAATTTTAAGATTGATTTGGAAAGGTCAGTACATGACACTCCTAGGAACAGAAAGGAAAAACAAAACAGCTAAAAATAAACTATTAAAAATAAAGCCCACCTGAAACATTTGTAGTTCTAAGGAAATTAGTTATCTGGATTATCATATATAATTCTTCAAATATTGAAATTGTATAAAAACGTTAAGATTATTACTAATTCGTCATAGTTCATTAAAAACTTAATATATATAAAGGAATTAATATTTGCATATCATAAAAGACTGCATAATCATGTCCATCCATGTAGTGTTTTTTTCAACGAAACTAATAAAAAAAGAAATTTAAAATGGAACAACATTTTAGATTTTTTTGAATACCTCTCAGAAACAAATGTATCAATATTATCATCATCGGCACTACAACTCACGTCCGGTATTGACGGCATTTACATCTTTCTCAATTGCGAATTAATAACTTCAGTTAGTCGGACCTATATTCTGAGAGTCTTGTTCTATGCCACATTTCCAGCGCAAACATAAAATTTGCCATACTCTTGCTGCAAAGAGTATTTCGAGTAATTTTCTCTTTGCTCCAGCTGCCTCGATGACTCCAGTCGGAACTATATTTCCAGAGTTCTGATATACGCCGCGTAGACATCAGCGTACACATAAAATTTGCCATAATATTTTCTGCAAAGAATATTTCGAGCAGTTTTCTCTTAACTCATACGAGCTAAAATGTCGCACTCATCGATATCTACCAAGCAACAAATGAGGTTATGAACAATGCGTGGGGCTAACAATTTTCAGTAGTTAATTTCTTTCAAACGTAGCTAAAAGCTCAAAGTCTTTTTTGCGGAACACCAAAATCTTAGATTTATACAAGAATACTCGTATACCATTATCTCATAGAGCAATAGATAAGACGTTATGGTAATGTTTCTGAATTTAAAAAGCTTTGGCTTCTTTAAATTTCACCAATCTTCTCTTTATTTCTTCATTTATATTATTATCAGCTGCTATAATTAATCCAATTAATCCAATTAATCCAAATAATTAATTGGGTCAATTGGACTCACAAGCTTTTGTTAAATATTGTTGCTTTAAACAAATTTATTTATTTTTTTATATAAAATCGATTGTAAATTAATTATTAATAAAAAATATATATGCAAGTATATGAGCATGTATATCTAGTATACTAAATGCCAGCAAAAGAACAGAAGCTCAACTAAAATTCTGTGTTTATTTTTAAAATATGAATTATAAATAAAAATTTTTTAAATATATTATCATTATATGTATGTTACTTATTACCACAAAAATATTTACATTTTGATATTGTCATATATTAATTAAAAAAATATTATTTATGTATCATAACCATAAATGCCAGCATGCATTTTTTGCCACACTTGCGAGCCACCGAAAAGGCCTATTGCCATTAGTATATATTATATTTTCCATTATATTTAATTGCTATAAGATAAATATTTTCTTATCAGTATAATAAATAGTAAAGTCAATGATTTTTTTAAATATAAAATGTATGTGTTAAATTTCCTTAAATATGAATACCTACATATATTTAATTTCCTATAAATTTCTATTATTTCCTATAATCAAGACATCTTTTAAAATGAACAAATTTTCAAGCTAAGCTGTTACGCTCTATTAAATTAACAATTCTTTAAGATTATTCTTGACACGTAATAAATATTTCAGTTGCCGTAGTCCCTGTTTCGTTTCCATTATGCTACCCTAAATATCTAATAACCAAGAATAAAATCCAAAAAGTCGACGTTTAATTACCGGAAATCGCACTTGGCACATGAATTTCAATATGAAAATTGAAAAAAATACTGGCGCTGTGAAACAAACTTGAGTTCCACCTGAACTACCATCACTTGAGACTATTTAACATACATATATAAAGATATATTTTGTTGTTTGGATTGTTGTTGTTTATCATAATTAATTTTGAATTAAATTTTTCTATATAATGTACAATTTTTTTAATATGTGTATATTGTTGCCAAACCGTCTGCGACAGTGCTTAAGTCAACAACCCGTTTCCAAGCAATCCATTTTACGTACTTTACATATTTCTTGTGAGGAAATGCTTAAATAGGCGCTTGTTGGTTGGACAACTTTTTTGTACTCATATGCGTCAGGTCAAGAAGTTAAGATAGTATAATGTATTCTTTAAATGCTATTAGCAGAGACTAATTTGTAATTCATAAATTTTTATAAAGACAAAATTGTTGGGTTGATGTGTCTTATTTGTATGCTATAAATAGGGTAAATGAAGCAATTTGCAAACACTACAGAACGACAACTCCATAATAACTTTCTTCAGTATGCATTCAACTAAGTACTTAATATGAAATAAAAATAAATGTTTTATGCTAAATTATTCTTTACGATTTCTAAGCAAACTTGTAAACACTTTAAAATTTATTGAAGAAACCTATATTTTTTGAAGATTAACATTTCATATTAAATAATATAAAAACTTTTTAATAGTAATCGGTTAGACATTAAATGTAATTTATCTCTCTGGAAAAAATAAATGTTATTAATTCTAAACTGTTTAGTTTTAATTCTAAATATTATGGCACGTTTCCACTGACTTCATTAGACAACTTACTGGAGATTCATGCAAAGGGGTGCACAATGGATCATGCTGGTCCCTGTGCATAAAGGTCTTAGTCTAATCCATAGACCAACACATTACATTACTTGAGATTCAAATAATTCAAGCAATCTCAATCTTACTTAAATCTCAAGACTTTGCCAAGGCTTCCTCACACTCACTTCTCAAATATTGGTGTGCCACTTGCAACAATTAATCTGGCCATCAAACAACAATATCTGAACAGTCGACTACTACTTAATTTCAATGCAATACACATATATACTTGCATCGTTAGTTGACGTTCACAATCTTATATACATACTTATTTTCACCGCCGTATATGTCCACTTGGGAGATCACCGCTGTATATATTCACTTGGTTGCATCCATGAGACTTGGTATAGTGTATTTTAGTAAAGAAGGATTGCGGCACAACAACAAAATACATTGTAATACCTATGTTAGTTATTTTTTAGTATGTATTTTGTTGTTATTTATTTATTATTAAATTATTATTCGCACTGTGACCATCGGACCTATTGTCCCTACCTCTCAGCGTCAATAAAAGTTTTTCTTTTGATAAGCCTATACAATTCTGTATCTCCTATTGTATAGGTATCAATAAGTGATTTGGATTGTGCTTACCCTGGTAGTCTATTCCAGTATTCCTTTTTGTTTTGGTTCTCTTTCATTTTTATGGGAAAGAGGAAGGCACTCTGTCCTAATCTACAGAATGGTTCGGCCCCCATCAGCGGTATAGCTGCTCCTTTCCTGGCTAGTTTCTCTGCGTATTCATTTCCCCGTACGAAAGTATATCGCGGTACCCAGATAATCGATACCTGGGTCGTGTGCGAGTTAGGCTAAGTTGATGCTAAACCAAATGGGAGATTTTTTGGGATTTTTTTGCACTGCACACATTTAGCCATATATCATCGACACATCACTACACATCGGCACAACTTAGAATTTCCCACATTTAGAACGCAACTTAGCCTAACTCGCACACGACCCTGATTTAATTCCCTGAGCAAGTTTAGCAGTTCAACGCATTCTCGCATCAGTCTTAAGGTCAACTGATGCCAGTTTAGTGCTTTGATAACCGCTCGGCTGTCTGTTTGTTATTCCGTATTTAATTCAGTATTCAGTAATTTACAATATTTAGGTTTCCCAATGCTTCCTAATTCCCTTACAATTTTCTATTTCCAGAAAAAATCGATAAAATATTAAAATTTCCTTGACGTGTGAAAATATTTAATATTTATAAAGTACATTTACCACTAATTAATATTTTCTGTAAAAATCGATTAAATATTTAATTTTTCTTAAGGTGCGGAAATATTTATTTTTTAAAAAGTACATTTAGCATTAATTACCATTTCGTATTTTCTAATAATTATTTCAATTCTTATTCTTAATTTTTATTAAAAAATTTAAAAAATAAAGAAGAAATATGATATATGTATGTAAAATGTGATATGTATATGTTTTTTATTTTTTTTTTTTTTTATTAAAAAGACTTTTTAAGGTCATTGACTTGTTGACATTCAATGTCAATTATGCTTTCCTTCCTGTTACATCTTGTCGCCTTGCTTTCACGGTCGCTTTTTTTTCTTTTTAGATTTTGTAATAAATAAAAATGTTGACATTAATGACAGTGCATAAGTGCATAATGCAAATGAGGGGAAGTACAAATTGTTTGGGTATCGCCTTTAAAAAATTTGTGATTAAAATTAAGACAACATTTTTTATATAAATTTAATTTATTTATAAGATACTATATTAATAATATTATAATTAAAATATAATAAAAATAATTAAATAATATAATTAAAATAATAAAAAAAATAGTAAAATCTTATAATTTTTTAATTTTTACAGGTTACGGTTCAAACATATCTACAACAGATCTAAACAGATTTTTTATAACAAAAGTAAGTAATTTTTATGTTTATGGCTTTTTTTAATTTTATACTCCAGACCAATTACTAAATTACTCAAATAAAATAAATACTTATTTGTTAAAAATTGTTTTTTATTTATTTATTTGTAAAATTAATTTTAAAGTTAGCTATGAATAAAGGAGTGGACTACTAGATTCTGCGCCCTGTTATTACTATATTGTATAAATGTGTTAAATTATCCAATATTCCTTTAAAGTTATTACAAAATTTATTTACTACAAATATCTTAAGCTGAAATTGTGATTTATGTAAAAAAACAATATAATAATAATATTGTTGACAGATTTATATTCGTTTTCATTTCTTGATTTTTTGAAATCATAGCTATAAAAGTGCCACCCACACAGACAATTTGAATAGCAAATTAATTACGACCACCAACGGCTAAGTATCTTTTTGCATTAATGATAGAAGGAATACCTCATCCTATTGGTGCACATATAAAAAGTATAGAATCATTTTTCACAGCAGTGATGTAAAAACTCATATTGCATTTGGATGCTTACTGAAGTATTATCAACTGTGCTGTAATGCAAAGCATTGGATTAAGCATGAGTTGCATTAACCTAACTGATATTTATACACTTACAAAAAGTGCATAGTGGATTTAAAAATTAAATCAGCTTAACTTCAAATTTCTCTCATTTTTCATCGTAAAATATTTATATTTACATGAAAATATTTTTATCGTATTTACAGTATACGAATATATGAGTATATGCTATTATTTCTCGTCTATTTAATGTTGTCCTTGTCTGTCCGCCAACAATTAAAAACGATCATTAAATTAAAGATATAAGCTTTTTGATAATAATAGCCACAGTTAAATTATCAGATGGCCTAATAAAAAATAAATTAAACTTCATATCTCTTAATCTTTATAAAATTTTATATTCAATTTGCTTAAGATGCACTTAATAAAATTTCTCATTTCAAATGAAAGATAAACTTAACAATTGCAATTGCAATTTTGATGTAATTTTAATTACACTTGATGCACGCCATGACCTAAACGCATGGTGTAGTCATTAGATTGGCATTCTAAATTTAGTAACATTACGAAGTAATAAGAAACCAACCAAATAAATTAGTTTCATAAATAATGAATATAGAAACAAATGGAGTTTATTGTGATGGTTAGGTCAGGTCAGGTTGAGAGGGTAATACAACTGATACAACTATCAACACTTCTAATCTGAAACATCTATTGTTTATTATGATACCCTGTAAATTACCTGGTACGGACGAGTTACACTAATATCTGTCTACGTGTATTATCCCTGTTAAACTATTTGGTTTTCCAAATAACGCTAAAGAGTTCCGCTTCCTCTGCAGTCCTGGACAAAAACATAGAAGATGATTTATGCGTACTATTTTCTCTTCATTCAGCATAATTTCATATTGCGACAAGTAGTCGGTATAATACGAGTATTTTACGATATTATTCAAATCCATGGTGATACTATGAGACAATCAAGTCTACCGTCTCGAGATTACTTGTTTAGTCTTAATAACTAACCTTACGAGTTGTATTGGGTCAACTATGTCGAGGTTGAGATAACTTAATTAATCTTAATAACTAACCTTAAAAGTTTTATTAGATCAACTAAGTCCTGATTAGTTCTGATTTGCTACATTGTTAATATAAAAATGTAAGAAATTAACTCTTTGTCTAGAGAGAGATGGACAGTAAAACAATCGTTCCCCCCATGCCCTCATCCTGACAGCTACTACAATAATATCTGCTATGAGTACTTAATCCAGTCGATTGTGTATCTCTCAAGCAAAGACTTGTTATGACAGACATGAGTACATTGACACTGCTTAATGTTAAATTTTGCTCATGTCTGCAAAGTTCTAACTGGCAGATTTTCTCTGATTTTGCTATTTATTTTAAGACATGTAAAGAAGAATACGGAAAATTGTGCTTCTAATATTATTGTAATATATAAAAAAGTGGTGCAGCATCTAGCCAGTTCATTCGTTCGATAGATTTGAAGGTTCATTCTATCTACCAATCACTCTATGTCATTGCAATTATTTTTTTTCTTTATCTGATAAGGTACCTAAAACATTATACGGGAATTCTCAAATATGTATATATAATAATGCTACCAGTTTAAATCTATAATATCCTAAGATGTCAATGTAAGCTGGAACCCAAATTAAATGAACGATATTTGCTTCAGTTATGTATTGAAAGATCAACAGTGTAACACTACAGCTTTTGATTTCGCCTTTACATTTGTGATTGATTTGAAGGCCCCAAAACTAGCTATAAATTTATACACAGATGTTAAATTACACTTTACCATCTTAACTGCAGTAATATAAGATAAGAATATGTATAAAAATATATAAAATATACTACTCCTATATTTATATCCTGGTAGTTGGAGCTAACTACATATGTAGGAAGGAAGTAGGACATTTTCTATTTCTTATATTTTATCTATAAATATTAATGGCATTCACGAACTCAGTAACTAAGTAAAACTAAAAAGGGGCGACAATAAAATACTCAAAATTTATTTTGTTTTTTTTTGTTTTTGCCACTGTAAGTCTTCTATCAAGTTCATTACTTGTGATCGTGAATATATATGTATATAATATCATTTCTATAAAAAGATTTCAATTTTATGTTTTAAAATTAACTACTTAATTGATTTTATACTTTAATTTTTAATCTTAGTTTATTTATTTTAAAATTTTAATGCAATATTAATTCGCGGTTGCTTTGTATTAAATTGAATTAAACCAAGCAATTACTTTTTAACAGACTTGCGGTTTGTGGTATGTACAGATAATTACGTGGCGCTTTGGTTTCTGTGGTAATGTTTAGATAAATAGTGGTATTTACTTTTAAGATATATTATGAATGCTGTAATATATTACATACATAAGGATAAATTTCCGTATATCTTTGCAAACCCACATACGAGCACGGGACACCTGCACTACTATGCCGTTATTTTCGCTGTAATATCTAACCTCTGCTAGTTTGACAATATAATTTCCGCCTTAAATTATTGTAGATCTCAGACTCTTAATTCAGTTCAACTGTAATTGCAGTATTTTCGAATTTATTTAAGCGCACGATTTCTCGATTAATTTACTTTATTTTAACAAGAAAATTTGTACAAATTTTCCCTACAAAATTTCTTTTCATTATTGTGAACGTGCTAGTATATAAGCGTATATCACTTATCTTTGATTATAGAGCATCATGACCAATAAATAGCTGCTACTTTCTTTTTTTTTCTATTAAATTTATATCCAATTTATTTAAAGATAAAATATATATTTAAATAAAATTAAATTGCAGAGCAGTTGCAGTTTTACTAGAGCCCCCAAATAGGGCGCTTTATTGCAATGCAATAAGTTATTAAATTAATGGAATTTTACAATTTGTAATTTATTTTGTCATAAACCTTAAACCTAATGGCAAATATTCATTGGTATACTGCAATACCTTGCACTTAAATGTTAGCCTTTTAATATCCAATATTTTACTGTTCTATTACAAGATCGTAATTTTCAATCTTTCTGCAAAGTTCATTGCCCTTCACTTGAGTTTTGTATCTCTTTTGCATGGAACTTGGCATAAAATGGATAATTGCTTTACATTTTTCTTCTAAGTGTTGCCGGAGTATCACTTTATTTATATCGTTTTTTTTATTTTCTTTAATATGCATTAAATTACTGAACAATAGTTTTTTTCAGTAAAGTTAAATTGTAATAGTTCTTGCATTTTATTTGGATTATTATCCGCTTAAAGATACAGAAAAGTATAGAAAAGCGCAAAGGAAATGCATTTCGCTATATCGACTCAGCGCACAGTCATCTTCTGTGCTACAAACTTTGAATAAGTTGATTGATTGATATCTTTTAAAAAAAAGAATAAAAAAATGTTTAATTTAAAAAAAAAATTTTTATACGTTAGTTATAATTTAATACAAAATACAATAAAATACAATTGAATTATGTTATGTAGTTTAATTTTCGGTTTTATTTAATTTCATTTAAGAACTATTTAACAAACCAACTATACAGGGTGCTTATAGAATATCCAGTATCCATAATTTAAAAAACGCTTCTAAAATGCAGATTTGAGCACGATCGGTTAAGTGGCTTACATGTGCTGCTGTTTTTACAATTATAGCTTTGAGTGTTCTGAGACGTTCACGATAGAAAAAATAGGACAAAGAGCTTTCTATAAATTTTGTATCGAGAATTTTTAAAACGGTCTGTGATAAATCAAATGACTCAAAAAAATAATGCATAAACCCAAAATGTGATACTTGATTTTATTTGTTTAAGCTATCTAAATAATTTCGATTTGTTTTATGTTCAAAAGGCGCTTTCGCACGGTTTCATTAACACACATCCCACACAATTACTAAAGGTGGTTGTTTTTTAAAGATCTATTTTTAGTATGTATTTTAGTTTCATTTGTTCAACGACTTCAACTATGAAATTTCTATATCTTGCCTAATCAACGCATTCGAAAGAGTTTAAATATTTTTTTTAAATATCAGAATCTGCATAAGAGACAGAGTTGTACTATCCTCAGAGCAAAACTGGCATCTTTTAATTGTGCATGCCTTTAATAGACAGCGTTTTAACTAATTATTTATAAAGAGGTTTTTCGAAAAGTAATGAACTACAATAATAATAATTCTTTATATATTATTTTAATTAATTGAATTTTTTGCTGACTATACAGTTATTTCGAGTACTGTCAAATATCCATCATCAGTGGTCTTAGAAATAAATCTTGTATTTAATTATTCGAGAATAATTTTTTGAGACTGTAAGTACCAGGAATCGAACTCGTGCCGTGCCAAATTTGTAGCTCAGAGTCAGCGCACCTTAATCAATTGACCCAAAACCGTACTTGACTTTTATGTTCGCACATTTTTCTGGAGTTTTTTTAATTTGCTGTGAAAATTTTTATTAATAAATTCACT